ATTCAATGTACAGTTTTGACTTTTCTACGATTTATTATATGTGTAGATAGCTGTTGCCCGCGACTTCGTCCGCGTAGATTAATGACTTCTGACAGAATTAACCAGAATCAATTCAGTGCCCAAGTAAGATTTACCTATTTTGAAATGATTTATCGTAGTTTCAATAAATAAATAATCCCGCAGGGATCTTACCAGTACAGTGCCCGATCACGTAAGGTTTGAGTAATAAAAACTATTCTATCGACTATTGTTGTACCGAATCTCTCTAGAATAAGTTCAGTGGTTAAGAGTTAGAGAGTCCTGGGGCATTGACGCATAGTTCCCGTTCTCGTGAGACATCTGTGAAAAAACTATCATACGTTACCCAGGTCCCAAATCATCGTTTTACCGAATGTAATTCAAAAAGATTCAATGATTCTAAATTCAACGGCTAAGAAGATTTATACAAACTCTCATTCCCTATTTTATCCCCTTAGGGGTGGAATTTATCAAAATCCTTTCTAAAGAGATACCTATGTCATAGTAACTTTATGCATGCAAAGTCTCAGCCCGATCAATTTAAAACTGGCAAAGTATCATACTTTGGGGTGAGAATGTTCAAAAACCTTTCTAAAGGGACGTTTACGTCATAATATCCATCTGCACGCCGAATTTCAACCCGATCGGTGTAAAACTGACAAAGCCTCACACAAACGTTCATCCCCTATTTTACCCCCTTGGTGGAAATTATCAAAATCCTTTCAAAGCGGATGCTTACGTCATAACATCTATCTGCATGCCAAATTTCAACCTGATCGGTTTAAAACTGACAAAGGCTCATATAAACTTTCATCCCCTATTTTACCCACTTGGGGGTGGAAATTATCAAAATCCTTTCACAGCGGACGCCTACGTCGTAACATCTATCTGCATGCCAAATTACAACCCGATCGGTTTAAAACTGACAAAGGCTCATATAAACTTTCATCCCCTATTTTACCCACTTGGGGGTGGAAATTATCAAAATCCTTTCATATCGGATGCTTACGTCATAACATCTATCTGCATGCCAAATTACAACCCGATCGGTTTAAAACTGACAAAGTCTCATACAAACTTTCATCCCCTATTTTACCCCCATTGGGGGTGGAAATTATCAAAATCCTTTCATATCGGATGCTTACGTCATAACATCTATCTGCATGCGAAATTACAACCCGATCGGTTAAAAACTGACAAAGTCTCATACAAACTTTCATCCCCTTTTTTACCCCCTTGGGGGTGGAAATTATCAAAATCCTTTCTTAGCGAATGCCTACGTCATAACATCTATCTGTATGCCAAATTTTAGCCCAATCTGTCCAGCGGTTTGGGCTGTGCGTTGATAGATCACTATGTCAGTCAGTCAGTCAATCAGTCAGTCAGTCAATCACCTTTGAATTTTATATATATAGATAAAATACATGCCCATCATTTAGTTTTCTATTATCCTCTCCACATAGTACAAAAATTAACAATAAATCCTAGTCCTTATGGGACACATAGTTACACACGCAGCACCTCAAAAGACACTTCCCATGTGGAGTACCTCGACAATGATCCAATAATTAACAGTCGACAATCGCGCAAATACGTGTGGGTGACGACGGCACACGGGCCCCGTACCCGACGCGTCATTAAGGAGCATTCACGCCGTCCGACAATATTCTTCATTTGCGTACCGGCCGTCATTTGGCGCATTGTGACCGACGCGCGACACCCGCCCTCCGCTGCAGCGGTGCAGTGTGCCACCGCCTTAATTGTACCCTTGTCTCGTTGTTACCCGTTTTAGAGACATGAATATGGTAAACTAATCTTGAAATAAGATGTCTGAGTCTCCATTTACGCTTCTTGTTCTCTTGCAATCATTTTTATTGCGACCATTATTTTCTCGGACAGAGAAATGACAAAGACCCTTCTAATGTAATGTGTACAGAAAGTTAGTAGCTAATCACAAAAGTGCACTCAATGAGAGCGGAATTTACCTTTTGGGGTACAATTTGGAGCCACTTACACGATTGACGAGCATCACACATTATCCAGATTGGATGAGACGTCGCTGGGAGTGCGCCATACGTTTTGGCAGACAGAGGGGGAGTCCGGGAGTGCCGTACCCATTAATATATATCTCCTATAATACTGATGAAAACTTCCATGAATGTAGAAAGTATTACACAACGCACATCGCAGGATTTAAGTACCCTGTCTGAACACCTACGATGTCTAAGCGTGGTCGTTGATACAACTTTCACAATGTACATATTATTTACATAAGCACTCTAATTGAAGCAGCTGTCGATACAATGCATAAAGTTATTATAAACACAATTATATTAGACAAGGAACCATAAAATTATAAACCACCTTAAAACCATTAGAATTAAATTAGTCAGGAATAGAGGCCATTATATTAAATTCCGGGGGAACTGAGTTCTCACCTCTATTAATTAAGAAATATAATATTGGTAACGCATTCACCTGCCTCACGTATCTGTGAGCGAGTAGGATCTTACTCAAGCCTGAGCTTTAAAGCGTTGTGTTAGAGTGTAATTTGTATTGTCTCCGGGATCAATATAATGTAATAGAGAAATGGACAGGTTGTGTAACGGTGCATTTGTTTTCGTAATAAAAGCTTTGATATCTTTGAAGTGAGTCACCGATTACCACATTATATTCATCTAGACATAATGCCCATGATTAATAAGTCCCATTAAGTTTAAACAAAGATTAATTTTATAGCGGAGCACTCTATCGTAAGATATTTCCCTGTACCATGGAGACTAGGGACTTTAGTGTGTTTTTATTTATGAACGATGTCTAATACTTTATGATAAATCTCTAGTGAACACTCTCCTCTCTTCAGTTTTCGAAGAAATTACGAAAAATATAAATAAAGTTCTCGCAAAAATCTTGCAAACGGAAGAGTTTCTTGGCGAAATCGGAGCGAAAGAAAACACAGGATTTTTGTAACGAAAAACAAAAGTATTGGCTTATTTTCCAGAAGAACAGGTTTTTTTTACAAATATGAAGTAAAATATAACTTTAACTGATTTTCAGGAAAGTGTAGTCCGATGCTTAGTTAATGTACGCACACATCTTACGTTTTGCCAGTTTTATTATAATTGCCAGTTGATAGATACTCAATGCCATCGAAGCTGGAAGTAGATATGACATAAATGTCGATATCTACAGAAAACTTTCAATATAAAACGTAAAGTCCATTAATATTTGAGCTTACAACGAAGCAGACAATAGGGTAGATGACTAATTTTTGCGTCGCGTGACGTCACTTCTATGTACATTTTATACGTAGAAATGACGTCTTAGCCCCACTTCTAAACTTTGTTTCGTTTTATCTAAGTATCGTTTTATTACCTATACGACAAATAAAAAAAATACGTGGCTAATATTTTTTTAATTACCTAACTTACGGACTAATTAGATTTTTAATTTTCATACCCTGTCATCATCCCAATTCATCGAGAAAATTGAAATTGAAATAAGTGTAGCAGCATCAATACAAAGAAGTTAAATTTTTAAACAATAAAATTTAATCTTCAATCATTTTCCTTTAAAATTTTAAAATTGTACCAATAATATGTTCTTTTAATATTGTACCAAATCCTAAGTTTCATAATACGGGTCGGTGCGCTTGCACTCTGTTGAGCGCCCACCTGCGCTGGCGCATCAGTTGATCGATGGGGCTAAACCGAACTAAACCGAATTAGCCCGATAATGCTTCATCCGTAAAATTATTGAATTAACCAGAAATCGAGACCGGCCTCTTTCTTGTAACCCGACACGGAATCCGTAATGAATTTCCTGTAGGGATGTCTTGAGTTATTTATCGGGACGGTACACTTATTTTTAAGTCAATATTAACTGACACCACGCCACGGTACGACAGCAAACATTTTTAACAAGTCTTAATAAGAATACTCGTAAAAGATTATAAGATTTTTAAATTAATTAAGCTTAATTTAAGTGATGTAGATTTTTAAAATCGTCTCATTATCCAATCAGCTTTAACAATAACCCCTGATCTCGTAGTTCGCGTACCATTTAACCATTAAAAAGGTTTAAAAGGCGCCTCACCTCAAACTTCAAGTCACTTTGAATGAAGCATTCGCATCACTATTTCCCCGTGGCTCAGTTTCGCAGTCGCCTCGGCCCGTGGGAACAACTAATGAACTTAACGGATTGGGTTCAATAGTCAACGTCTAATCGACTTTAGTTGGCTTAATTGGTAAACTGATCGTTGAGACATTAGACGCTTTTACTTTGTTACTTCTAAAAATAAAAGAAAAGGAACACAAATAGTAACAAACACTGAATACAGTTTGTCAGCTGACTGTACTGATGAATTACTTAATCAATGGTACTCCATTCTTGAATTTCGTATTCGTATTCCTGTGGGTTGTAAGCACTAAAAGGATTCGGTCCAATGATTAATATTCACCAAAATGCATAAAGTGTCCTCGGCGGGCCGGCCGACAGTGCAGACTCAATCTATAGCTACGTTGTCGTATACGACAGTCACTCGTTTCAGAACATCTGACATCGTCAAATAACTCACTTTGACGTTATTTTACTTCTGTATGTAAATGCACCAATTAGCGGGTCTTACGTTGCTCCGTAGGTAATATTCATTATTTCAAGCTGGGATTTTTTCCTGCGAGCGTACCGCAACCGCGGCTGTAATTAACCATGAACGGGACGGGTCCTTCAGCGTTTGCTTATTAACGTCTAATCTTTGTTAGCGCCCGTCGATCTTAATTAATTCAATTAAAGTATTAAGGAGTAGGTGAAGGTTGCGGTCCTCTCACTGAAATTTAAAAACTTAACGTCGCCGTCGTCGTAACGACTCACCGAGTATAGAAGGGGGAGGCGAATTAATCAAATAATACCGCGGAGGTGCGGGGCCGGCGCCGTGTCCCCCCGCGCGCCCCTCTCTCGACCGCGTGGCTCAGTCGCGACCGAAACGCCGTACGGGGAAGTGTCGTCGATCCCCACAAACATATCTACTTTTTTCGAAGTTTTCTGTACGGTTTTGTTTTAAAGTTTTGCAAGGAAGTTTTTATGTGACCAGTCTTTTATCCTGTCGAACTAGAAGGTTAAGAGACTGCGCTCGACGGTGTAGTTTCTTGAGTTCATACGTTTATTGTGTTTTTTTGTTATTGTTAAGTTTTTTGTTTGGTGCATCGTGCCGGTCCGGAGACCGGCGGGTCCCTTCGAGGCATCAAGCCTGGACGCGCGGCTTACAGACCCCAGAGGACAAAGCCTTTAGGTAACTATTGGGAAGAACTTGATGGTCGTTCTGTTGCGATCGAACGTCTTTAGCGTCGAACTGCAATGCAGCATGTTTGTAAACAGACTGCATCAACTAATAAACTATTACACGATGGACATTATAACAATAGGCCAGCTGCTGGATGTAGAAACAATTAGTGTGTGGTGGTGGGGCCGTACCGGCTGCACTCCGCGCCGGCTTACTAACTCCAAACTAAGCGGCCACGTGCTGCCCAACTAATTGCTTCAACTGAGTGATGTGCAATTATTGACATGAACACTTCGCTAGCATCTAACTATTGAAAGTGAAATTTTGAAACGTCTTGTGGTTACTTTTGCGGAAACTATTTCTGTTCAAGAACTAGAAATACAAAAATTGAAGTTTTCATTAGACTTTAGGAAGTAGGTACTTACTAGTTGTGTAATTAATTCTAAGGCGATTGTATTAGATAAATTAGCTAACGAACTTTAAACAAGGATACTGTTTTAAAATATAATTAATGTTACTGAAATAAAAAAGACGTGGGCGAAATGAATAAATTAATTAAAACTTTTATCGCAAACGAAGACTATAATAGATTACCCCGTACAACAGTATCTCCAAAATCATTAATTAATAAGCATCTCGTGAGCACAACACTAATTATTTTACCGTCAGGTGAAACTCAATTACTAAGAGATAATTAAACCATCAAGGATTTATTTACTTTGAACATCAATTTTCTTTAAAATAAACCTACTTTTAATTAAAGCTTTAACGAAAAACAAATAGAGAAGAGGAGAGGCGCACAACCCTTGCGTACGAGGCACCGTCACCGCGGCCCGACCCGCGCCCGCTCCGGCCCGGGCCCCCGTTATTGGGGACTTAGGCCCACTCGCTCCTCAGCACCGGCCAATACATTAACCCGCCAACTAAACAATCTACTACTATCAACTACTTTATCAAGCCAACAAATCAAATCACTGTCACAGGGAAACGTCCTGCTGAAAAGATGATTCGGGTGAAAGTGTCGAATTGACAGGAGATCGCAGAAATTATTTCATCAAAACATTCGTAATAAGACGGGTTAAAATTAATTTAAAACATGTCTAAGCAATATTATACGGACCACTTCATTTCATCGCCGGTTTAATTAAAAACGAGTGCCCGCTCCCCTCCCTCGTTTTCGGGTTGGAGTACCCCCTGCGCCCGCGTGGGCGTCTCGCTCCGCTTATATTTAGATAATTGTACAATCATCTAAATTAATGAGTCCTCTCGTCCGGCCCTGGCCTCTATTGTATTATGTTTGTGCTGGCCACAGAACGGATACACGGTGACAATTTTAATTTAAAAATTCTAATTAATCCATTATTCATTTCGAGCTTGAATCTCGAGATCCTAAATAATTTCCGAGGATTTTAATTTCAAAGTTGTAATAGATTTAATGTTTCATTAGATTAAAAATTATTCTTTATCACAATTTAATTCTAAAATATTGAGACAGTTATAAATTTATTTGACGCGTCTAATACCTGATAATACGCTTAATTGGTTCTGTGTGCCCCATGATTAAAATTTATTTGTTAGTAACACGGAGGAGTAGGATCTCTGTGGGTGTCCATAACTCCCAGTTGACGACAGTGATAGAGCTCAATGCAATTAAAAGTTTCACTACGTGCGTGGACGAGGCGCCGCGCGAATCTACCTTAATTTATGCTAGCGATAAGCCCAAGTTATGAGAGCCAATTAATTACTTATTTTAACTAAGATTCTCATTTGATACTGACACAGAGCAAGCTGTTTAAGATTTGATAGTCCCACACTAAATTACGAGGCCACAAAACGAACAATTAAGAATGAAATGAATTGAATGATTTTATAAAACAAAAGCAAATTGATGTTTCGTGCCTCGGTGGTTTGTAAACGACAAGCCCGCTGATGGACAAATGGAATTAGCGACGCATCCATCATCGAATGCCCTCCCAAAATTAAATGCATCAAGCAACAGAAGGTCGGTGCATGGAGTGGGCTGGACACCCCGGAAGGCCCCGGGCGATCAACCTAATGAACCTACACCACCCCGCACCCTGATTTATTAACGAATTAAACGCATTCTGCTGCACCCTCATGGAGCACCACGTACACAAATGGATTTTGATTAAAGAAAAAGGAGCATCACAAAGCATAATCATAAACTTTTATTGAATCCACCTTAACTTCCCGAACGGAACCGTCCAAGATTGCAAAGAAAATTGGATGCTCTCAGAAATAATCCGAATACAAGCTCGTGTTATTCTTTCAATCAAAGTTTGAGAATGTTTTAACCTCAGACGAGCTAATGTTAACTTTATTTAGTGAAACATTAGTGAGCAGAACATAACCAGTTCCGCTTGGCCAACTCTCTACCTACACATTAGTTCCTTACACTTAAACAGCAACTAAACAACTGGCTCACTATGCAAATAAAGCTTCAACGTAGCATGCCAGCGCTACGTAAATTCACAACTTCTATTTTCTTAAACAATAATGGGATATTTCAAATAAGTCTATTATATCATTTGTGCGAAATTCTCGAACTGCTATTTCGTCTCTGATATATTTCAAATGAATACTAATATATTTAATACTCTAGCCAGACGCTATTCTAATATGCGGGGTGCGACAGGTGTACGTTCCCATGTTTCTCTTATAAAAGCCTTTTATTCAGAAGAGGATATTCCAACGCCACAAATGAGAGTTGATTGTTGAACCTAAGAGGATTACTAAGTATCAATGACGTCCATATTTAAAATAAGTTTTATTTCACTTGAAGATGTAAATATCCAGGATTTAAAATTGTCGCCGGGGGCATAGTGAAGCAATATGGTATTCGGTATTGAATAAATTAAGACGGCTTGCCGGAGTCATATTATTGTTGTATCCATCCATTATTCAGAGAACGCCGTTACTAGCCAGTAAGGGACGGCGCGCCTTCAGACCTTAAATTATTAAACACGCGTTACAGACTCGCCGCCCTAAACTCATTCTCGAATGTCTATAGCCCGGCCTGATGGTGGAATGATTGCCTCCTCGACAGCGTCAAGAGCTTCGCAACTGTTTTTATCTTCGTTTATCAAAGTGAGGTCGTACGTATATCAAAGACCAGCTGTGTGGTAACATTTATCTAGAGTTATAGCTAGACCGCGAAGTAAATCTCAGACAAACTATTTAAGGCTCGAATTGGAATTCTCATTGAGGCAGTAGGCTCACAGTGGAACACCTGCTATGATATCGCGCATGCCCTCTCCCCAGTCCGTAAGTCCACATTGACTAAACCGGTTTCGATTACAGGTTATAGCTACCTACTTATCCGTTTGGCGGAAACGAAACCTCTCACGTAGGTTGTTGTGCATATTCTTAATACAATGTACAATTAGATTTTTTTGTTTGTAAACTATCTCAAACAAGTATTTATTTAATAACTCGTTCAAGTTTCTCATCGTCTCGATATTTTCTGGCTAGTTAATTATTATTTGCGTTCACCATAACGTGAAGTTTTTATGTGTTTGTATCTAACTATGGACTACTTATGTCATTATTAGAAAAATATTCTACTGTTATTTACAGAGCGATTACCAATATTGCCCACGTTCCAGGAAGGAGCAATTCAACTCCCATAGAAAAATAAACAAAGTCAACCGAAGTTTATTTGTTCTGTAGGTAAGAGGGTCTCGGCCATGAAATAATGATGTTTGAAGAATCTAGGAACAAACGTTTAACCTCTATCATAATAAAGAGACGCGCATTCTTTGATTTAAAGAATTTTAATATAGCTCAGACAGTTGACAAGAAAAGCAGGCTATAGATATTAACTACACTGAGTACTCGAGATTGTCAAGCTAAAAATATCAGACAATTTCTAATATTATCCTCAAGAATTTGTGATTTAAGATTTCAACATATTTACTGAAGCTGTAGATAGCAATGAGGAAGAGGGGAATAATTCTTCTGAGGGAATTCCTTTCAAACAATGTTGGTCTGATTCAATCAGAATAAGTGCACTTCTCGCTATCTTAATGGTAGTTTTCGATGTCGATGATTGAAAGCTTAAATTGAATTGTGAATGAGAGCAAGGGACAGCAGTCATTGTCCGTTGATTGAAGAGAGACGGATGATCTCCTTAATTTCTCTGCGTGCGGCCACTCAACTTCTGCCAGTCATTCTATTTGATTGTTGGGATATTTGGTGTCGTAATTGGTACTAATTATTATTTTGAGAGCACTCTGTTATGGCTGTTGTAAAATCGATGTGGTATTAATCGTGGTACATTTATAATTTATTGACTGTCGTTGGAATTATTTTTTATTTGAATTTAATAGACTTCCTACCTGGGAGTCGATAGAAATATTTTGAACTTGTAAATTAATGGCATGTTCATTTGTCCAATATACTTATGCCCAATACGTGACATATAGAGGTAAATGGCTCATCTGTAGATCAAGACTTTTTGGTGTATTTATGATACACAAGTCTTTGTGAACTAATAAAAGAACGTTAGTTACATGTTCAGAAAACTGCACTTATAAAACAAATCACATCAATTCCTGCACTCTAATGGCTTCCACTATAAACTGAATGCAAGAACAGAGGAATGAATGTGGAAATTAATAGCTATCCTTAGCTAATAATGGCAATAAGCTTAGTAAAGACAGGGCCCATATTTCACTGGTTGTCATGGCAACGGACGCGCCAAACACGAACCATGAGGAGATATAACGGCGGTTACGTGTCGATATCTGGTTCAAATCTACATACAGTTCCATAATAAGATAATAATAAGTGTCTTCCAAAAAGGATTTTTGGAAAGGACCGACGATAAATGTTTTACAACAAAAATAAAGAAGATATTCAAACCTGTTACTTAGACACTAAAAATAAATGTATCGACCCTATCAAAGTTCGTTGACCAATGTAGTTCACCAGGAAAAATATGAGTAAATCTCAGGACATTTATTCAAAGTGAAAACGAATTTTGGTCA